GAATCCTCTTTTATGATGTAGGTAACAGCAATCCGAAATAACTGCTTGAGTAAGGGAAACAATTACCTTAAAAAGTCTTGTTAAATAACAGTAAACAGAAAACCAGAAAAACCGCTTTAATAAGTGAAAGACAAATTTAGCTAAACTTTTAAATGTCGCAATATTAGGAAATGTTTCAAACCTTAATAAGCCCTTAGAAAGCACATTTTTCAAAATGAACCAAGTGACAAATAGAAAATATTCTAAGCAAAACCATAATATAACACAATTGTTAGTCAACCGACTATGTAAACGAATCGAGATCCTTGATAAATATAAAAGACATGTAAGGTGGTCTCTTGTCACTTCTATTCACTATGGCGGCATTCTTTTAGTTAGTTAAATTGTGTGATAATTTAAAAATACCCATGGACAAAAAATCAATCAATGTATAAAATAATCATTTAATCTTTGATCTTAATCGGTGATGATTATAACCAGACGATCATATCAATATTGAAAGATCACCAAATTGGTGTCGATTAGTTATTAAAATTAAGGAGGTGTCGAGGTTTAAGAAATAAAGACCGGATGAAGGGAAATCGAATAATGACCGATTAGGTATTGATTATGATCAAACTAAGAAGGTATCAAATAACCATAGCTGGACTAGGCAAGTGTGGTATTGAAGAACGACTAGACAAACCACACCGATTAATGGCCGGAATTGAAGTATATAATAATGGGCTACAATAAATTATAAAGGGTATTGACAATGACAGGTAGGTGTACTAGAGACAGGTAGTTATCGAATAATGACATGAAAGAAGGTATCGATTATGACCTTGCATACTCGCATCAAATAAAAACGCGCAAGTGAGTATCGAGTAGTTACTACTGGGCAGGTATCGAATATACCGAGAAAGCGTCGATTTATTATAGATATCGGACAGCCAAGTAGATATCGAATAAGGACACCAGTGATGTATTCGTATCGAAAAACGAAAGGGCAGGAGCGTATCGAATATTGAACAGGCGTAGGAGGTAAACCCGTGTTAGGGTTTCAGGGTGCGGAAAGATCCAGGTTTTAGGGTTAGGGGGTGGTAAAGAAGAGCTCCTGACAATGAAAAGTGACTTTAAATTCAAACCATTTTTCAAGAAGTCGTACTAGTCATTCTGGTTGAAAACTGTTGTGCAAGACAAATACCTCCCTGTGGGAAAAAATTAAGTTCTTGTTCATCGCTGTTCCCACCTCCTATGTTGTAGAAAGGGGATAAGATTCAAAGTGGGAAGTTTGCTGACGGAGCATAGGAACAAACTTTGGATCATACAGCGTGGCATTTTGGGTCTTTGTTTTTTTTGTTTGTTTTTTTTGTAAAATGTTTTACGGCGCTCGCAACTGCATAGGTCATATGAGCGCGCGGGACACACCTGATGTTTTCAGTTGGTAGGAAATTTTGAATTTTGCCCGGGTGGCGGCCGAAGCCTACTCTTATCGATTTTAGATCACCAAGGGATCTTTAACGTGCGCAACTTGCACACGGGTCCTCCAAGATTTTTCGCCCTATTCCGAGAAGGCTAGGTGTAGATCTTTCCTACCAGAAGATCAGGGGTGTGGCTGAAAGACTGCAGTAAGAAGAAGCGAAGGAGTAGCAGTAGAAAGGCTGCAGAAAGAATCAGGAGCCCAGAGGAAGGAGCAAAGGAGGTGAGGGGGTTGGGGCAGAAAGAGGGAACCAAAGCAGACGACAGAACATTGCTAGAAAGCAGGAAATGAAGTGAAAGGAGACAAATTTAGAGAATAAAAACTTTTCGGTCGCTACCCGGATTCGAACCCGGGACCTTTTGAGTGAGAGGCCAACACCTTAACCTCTAGGCCACGAGAGCCCCCATTTTGGGTCTGCTAGTGACCAATCTGAAACCTGATGTTAATAAGTTGGTTTCGTTTCACCAGGTCTGGCCTTCCCGTTAGGGCAGTGTCAATGACTTATTTGTATAATATATGCTTTCTCCGTAGTTTATCCTTATTTGATACCTCAAAGTGTTTTTTTTTTCTTTTCTTTCTTTTTTATGTTTTAGCAAAATACTCACCTGTTTAATAGAGTTTGTGGTGTGCATGTACTGCCACTGACGAGAAAACTGATGTTAATGATGATGATGATGATGATGATGATGATGATGATTGTGATGATTACAGACTAAGATCCATGCATACTTTATTTTCTTGCTGTTTCTCACATTTAAACAACTTAATATATCTTTATGTTTTGTAGTGGATATATTAGATATACAAATCACAGGCCACTTTATTGCACAAAAATGGACAAACATACCCCCCCCCCCCCCCCCCACACACACACACACTCGCAAACATCCCCTGTGGGTGTTTGTATGTGTAAGATACTTGAATACACAAATCACAGGCCATTTTATTGCAGCACGTTGATGGGAGAAAACATTTCATAATTATGGAGTTGTGAAAAAGGGGGCGGCGACCGAAAAAAGTTTAAAATCCACTGGTTTAAATACTGGGCCTATAACTCGAAGTCGTCAAATAAATCTATACTTGTTATAGGGGGTGCCCACATACGCGATCAGGTCGTGTCAATCTTGTAGTTGGGGCTGGCCAAATTGAAGGCGCAAAGCGGCCGTCGTGGCACAAACCGATCGACTCGGTCCGTGACCTACAAAATTAAACGCGTTTATTTTCAGGCCTGCGAATCGTGCGATCGGGTGGTTTGCAGCCAATCACAACAAGACTGAGTCACGTGTCCATGTTAACACTCAAAATCCAGAGGCGCCCTCTTTTAAAAAGTGCAGACTTTGCGAGCAGAGTAACCATACTTGTGTGAAAAACAATAAAAGCGAAAGTAACAAACTATGTTGTGTTATTCCTATTCTTCTTCTGGAGAAACCTTTGAATTACAAAGTTCTGTCTGATATTTTGGGCCGTTTTGGGTTACCAGTACATGATTATCAAGATTTTCAAAAAAATACATTTGAAAAGCATGGCATGTTGTGAAACTTAAAAAATTTTCCGTCGCTGCCAGGTTTTCGAAACCGGGACCTTTTGAAAGAAAGGCGAACATGGAACCTCCAGCCCTTGCTCCATGAGTCTCTCTTTCGCTGTGTGTGTGTGTGTGTG